CAGTCAATTCACTTTACAGTATATTCTGTGAAGCGCTTTGAAACATCTCAACTACGTGATAAGGTGCTACATCAAATGCAAGGATTATTATGATTATTATCAACAGCTGGAAGCAGTTATTAGAAAAGATGATTGAAACCAAGAAACCTGGACTCATTTAAGAAAGGATGAGAACAAATGGGTCAAGGGACCTCCTTCATCTCAACTTCTTGTTTAATATCTGAATCAATCAAACATTTAGCGGAGAATATAAATTGTATTAATATTGTTATCTGGAGTAGAAAAATATAAATAAACTTTCCATCTCTCCACTGGCTGGAGCTCATCAGCTTTTGTAGCGCAGCTGCATTGAGTTTACATAGAACAAAAAAAAACAATACGACCGTCTTTCCTTACCGTCTTTCATCATAAACACTTGTTTTACAATACTAATGTATTCATTGCAATCCATTTTTGTTAAAAAAAACTCTGTGCCAGCAGAGATTATATTAATAGAACAATTGAATAAAACTGGATCGTTAGAGTCAAGAAGCCAAGAATATCAACTATTCTCAGTCTGGAGTTACAATAGAAAAACACAAGTTCTTGCTCTCCAGTATCTACAGAGCTTCTATTTTTGTTAAGTGAAGGTATTGATGAATGGTGTATGAATGGAATATACAGCACAGAAACAGGCCACTCGCCCAACTGGTCTATGCTGGTGTTTATGCTCCATATGAGCCTCTCCTGCCCTTCCTCAACTAAGCCTTCAAGCATAACCTTCTATTTCTTTCTCCCTCGTGTACCTATCTAGCTTTCCCTTAAATACAACTCCTTGTGGTAGAATGTTCCACATTCGCACTACTCTCTGTGTGAAGAAATTTCTTCTAACTTCCCTATTTGATCTATTTGTGACTATTTTATATTGATGGCCCTGGTTTTGGTCTCCCCCACAAGTGGAAACATCTTCCCTATGTCTACCCTATCAAAACCTTTCATCATTTCAAAGACTTCTATCAGGTCATCCCTTACTCTCCTCTTTTCAAGAGAAAAGAGTCCAAGTATGTTCAGCCTTTCCTAATAGGTATAACCTCTCAGTTCTGGGACCATCCTAGTGAATCTTCTTTGCACCTTCTCCAGTGCCTCTACACCCCTTCTATAACATGGGGACCAGAACTGCACACAGTATTCTAAGTGTGGTCTAACCAAGGTTCTGTAAAGGTTTACCATAACTTCCCTGCTTTTCATTTCTGTCCCTCTAGAAATAAAACTCAATGCCTGGTTTGCTTTTTTAATGGCTGTATTAACCTGGGTTGCAACTTTTAGTGAATTGTGTATGTGTACCCCTAGGTCCCTTTGCTCCTCTATTCCATTTAGGTTTTTATTTTCCAGGATGTATGTGACTTCCTTATTCCTTCTACCAAAATGTACCACCTCACACTTTTCTACATTGAAATGCATTTGCCATTTAAATGCCCATTCAGCAAGTTTATTAATGTCTTGCTGTAATGTGTTGCAGTCCTCCTCTGTATTAACTACTCCCCCCAATTTGGTGACGTCCGCAAATTTTGAAATTGTACTGCTGATTCCTGAATCCAAATCGTTAATGTATATTGTGAACAACAGTGGTCCCAATACTGACTCTTGTGGAACACCACTGCCCACCCCCTGCCAGTCTGAGTAACTACCCTTTACCCCTACTCTCTGCTTTCTGTTTTGCAGCCAGCTTGCTATCCATTCTGCTAATTTTTCCCTGACTCCACATGCTCTGACCTTGTTCATTAGTCTATTATGTGGTACCTTATCGAACGTTTTAGCAGTACACCATTCATCAATACCTTCACTTAACAATAATAGAAGCTCTAGATACTGGAGAGCAAGGACTTCTGTTTTTCTATTGTAACTCCAGACTGAGAATAGTTGATATTCTTGGCTTCTTGACTCTAACGATCCAGTTTTATTCAATTGTTCTATTAATATAATCTCTGCTGGCACAGATTTTTTTTAACAAAAATGGATTGCAATGAATCTCTTCCTGACAGTTGGACACCTACATACTATACGTATTAATGATATAAAAATAACTTTCCTTAACTAAATAATTTGAAAATACTTGAAAAACGACTGCATTAAAAGACAGAAAACCTTGAAGAAGAATAATAATAATAATCCTTGCATTTGATATAGCGCTTTTCACGTCGGGAGGACATCCCAAAGCGCTTCACAGAACACACTGTAAAGTGAATTGACTTTTTGTGGGCGAACGCGGCAGCCAATTGCGCACAGCAATGTCCCACAAACAGTCAAGAACTGCTTGATGCATTTTTATTTTAACCAGGGATTATATTTGTGTAGTCCACTAAGTCATGATCAGGTTAGTTAAATTCAAGAATCATTGGTAAACCCACTAATGATATAGGTTATTCTTGAACCCATCTAATTTGGTCTCCTTTGGCTGTTATAAATTCTACAATGTAACCTAACCTATTCTAGACTTCTACATCAATTATAATGTTTTAGAAATTTTATAATCTTTTATAAATTCTACAATTCATAATCTATAACACTGGGCCACTTTCACTATCCTCTTCTAAATAGAAGCCATGGGACATTTATTTTACTGAGTCCACTTATAGATTTGATCTGTCCCATATTCTTCATCAACTTTCCCATCACTTGGTAACTTTCCAATCATTAATTTTAATGGTGCTTTTTGTCTTCAACAACTCTCAGCCACAAATATCAGTAATTCAGTTTCTGCTATGTTCTGGACACTTTGATATGTTCTACAGTATATTGAGAATATTGAGTATAATGAGAATAATATTCCTTGCATTCAATATAGCAACTTTTACATTGGAAGGATGTCTCAAATTACTTCATAGCATTTAGTGTAACAAGTAATAATAATAATCCTTGCATTTTATATAGTGCCTTATCAGGGCTTCGAGGTGTCTCAAGACGCTTCACAGAATACAGTAGAATATGTATATTTTGTAGCCAAACACAGCAGACAATTTCCACACAGAAATGTCTTATCAACAGTGATTAAATTAATGCTCAATTTTATCTGGGTGGATTGTTGACCAAGACACAGGGAGAAACAACCTTCTATTTTGAATAGTGCTATGGGACCTTCAATGTCCTCCTGAACAAGCAGACATAATGTCTCACTTAAAGGATAGCACCTCCAATAATTTAGTGCATTGCACTGAAGTGTGAGGAAAGTGTGAATTCAAAAATCTAGATTTGGGGCTTGAACCCACAGCCTCCTGACTCTGAGGCAAACTTGTTACCAACTGAGCCAGGTTGACACCTAAACTAAGACTAATTCAAAGCTGTCAGTATAATATACTCATCAGTATTTATATCAGTCTTATCTTGATTGGATTTCTGAAGCTCATTTTTCTGATTTCTTTATAATCTTCTTGATGTCAAATATCTTAGTGCTAAGAAAAAGAAATCAGCGAGTTGCTTTACAAAACTTCAAGTAAGATTGGTGAAAAGTATCTGATTGAATTTCCTAAATCTCAAGAGAAACAATGATCCAAACAAATGAATTTCAAAGCGTTTATGTAATGCATATTGGAACAGTAAACACTGGAGTATACTGAATAAAGTAGGTCTATTAGCAATTGCATAACAGGAAAAGGATTTGGGTGTCATTATTATTTACTGAAATGGAAAGCTTTCAATGGAAAGCTGTTATAAACAGGGCTAATGAAATCGTCTAGAACAAATCAAAGACCTTCGACTGTAAGTTAAAAGAAGCTGTTTTTCAATCAACGCTAAGATCACATTTAGAAAAGTGTTAGAGAAATGTATGTGGTTTGCCTTAATTCCAGAATGACAATTATCTGCTGTTCCCAAAAAGGGTAGACGGGATGTTTCCAAAAAATAGGCTCTAAACTTTGACAAGAACCTCACAGTGATGGTAATCAAGCAAAAATGAGAGTGGGAGGATGGCTGGCTCATGTCTTTAACATGGTGAAGCACACAGTTGATATAGATGTAAACATACTGTTTAACTTGGATTGTAACTAAGGAACTACTGTCAGGGTTTCATTTGTGCTCGAGGAAAGAAATATTGCACAGTGATATATGTGCAATGGCTCTAAAACATTGAATGGTAGGTTTATTTTTTTCATAAAATAAGTTGATGTTTACCTATTTGGGAATGGGATCAGAAATGAAAGGGACAAAGATAAAATGAGGTGATCAAACACTCCCTGGAATGCAAAGACTTCCACAGCTGGGTCAGAAGGACAACAACAATAGTATTTATATAGCGCTCCTCATATGCCCTAGAGCACTTATCAGTGGCAGAGCTCGATGCTGAGTTGGGGGAAGTTGACGCTAGGCACGGTCGAAGAGGAAGCTCTTTAGGCACAACCTGAAGATGGGGAAGCAGAGGGCACAGCGGAAGGATAGAGGAAGAGTATTCCAGAGTTTCAGGGTGTAATAGCTGAGAGTGTGGCCACCGATGGTGGAATGGAGGGCACGAGGCACAAGCTGCCTCTACCTGCTGCCTCTGCTCAACTGGCACGAGGAACCAGTTGAGCAGAGGCAGCCGGTAGTGGGTTGGGGAACAAATATGTCAGAGTAGGGTGTAAGCAGATCGAAGTAGGATGGTGCCAGAGGATGAAGGAATTTGAAGACAAGTGTGAGGACTGGGAGAATGCTGCTTATGGAACCAAAGAGACTGAGTTTTAAGACGTGGAGGCGCATAGCTGAATGATTATTCTGGAGGTCTTTTTGATAACCTTTGGGGATCAGGGTATATTTAAACTGAATTTAGACTCAGCATGATCTGCTGCTATATCAAAAGTCAAGCTCTGATATGCAATCAAACAAATCCAAGCCATGATGCGGGTTTCCTGAAAGCCTCTTTATTAGTTCACAGAGTATTATGCTTTATTGAGAAATGATATGAAAAGCTGTAGCCTAAGTACCCTATAAACCTCCTAAAATTGTGTTTTAATAGTTCGGCATCAAAAAAACAGAAAGCAGCAATCTCTTACCATTTTTGGCCTTGCACGTTTTGTCATTTGGTTGCATCAGATAACCTTCCACACAACTGCACGTGTAGGAACCATTAGTATTGGTGCACATTTGACTGCACGTTCCGTACACACTGCATTCATCGAAATCTGGAAAAAACAAAAAATAAAACTATTTAACAACAACAACAAGATTCCATTTATAAAGCGCCTTTCACGTCAGGAGGATGTTCCAAGGCGCTGCACAGTTGGGTCAGGACCCGAGCTGGGGGAAATGGTCAGGGTGAGGGGAGGGAAGGAAGGGAGCGAGGAGGGGGGAAATGGTCAGGGTGAGGGGAGGGAAGGGAGGGAGCGAGGAGGGGGAAGAGAGTCGAGAGGGGAGCTGAAGGCTCGGTCAAAGAGAAAGGTTTTGAGACCGGCCTTGAAGGAGGAGAGGGAGGAAGCAAGGCAAAGGCACTGGGGGATGGAGTTCCAGAGCCTGGGGCTGAGAGGCTGAAAACCCGACCACCGATGGTAGGGCGATTGGGGCGGGGGACGTGGAGCAGACCGGAGCCGGAGGAACGGAGGGTACAGGCAGGTAGGTAGGGGGATAGTAGGACAGAGAGGTAGGAGGGAGCAAGGCCGTGGATGGCCTTATAGGTGAGGATGAGGATCTTGAAATCAATCCTCTGGGGGATGGGGAGCCAGTGGAGGCGAGCGAGGGTGGGTGTGATGTGGTCCCGAAGCCTGGTGCTTCATTAAATCATGCCATAGGATGAGGGTGAGGTCCCATAACAGATTCAATGTGAATTATCACATTAATAGTTATCACATTGAACTCATTATGAAATGTCACATATTTCTCCTCTATGTGCCATGACATGATAAACAGAGCAAGTGATGGAGGATGCTAATCTTGTGTTTACTTCCAGGATCACTTACTACGAGCATCATACATTCAAACGCCCTTGTAAAATTGACACAAACAAGCAACTGGGTTTGAATAAAAATGACAGAAACGTCAATAGTGCTTACTTCTTAAAAAATGGAGTTTACCACCATTTTAAGCAAATGTAATATGATTCCTGCTTTAAAGGGCAGTAGCACATAGAATGTTACCACATTGTTAATTCGTGCTAAATTTTGTAAAATGAACAAAAGTATGTTGACTTGTGTTGACTTTTCCAATGTCCTGCTCACCAACCTCCCCAGTTCCACCATCAACAATCTCCAGACCATACAGAACCCCACAGTGCATTATCCTCTCAGTGAGCCCATCACCCCTATCCTTTCCCAGCTCTACTGGCCCCCTGTACCAAGCAGATCAACTTCAAGATTCTCATCCTCAATGTCAAATACCTCCACAACCTATCCCACTCTATCCTTGCGATTGCCTGTGACTCCTCTCTGGATGACGCTCCTTATGCTCTGCCAGTTCTGGACTACTTCATGCTCCTTGCCCACTCTGTGCCCTATTGACGGATGAGCCATCAGCCATTTGCCCCTTCCGTGCAAAAACTCTTTCCTGAAATCTCTCCAACTAGCCCCTTTCACCTTTGCTTTCAAATCCCACCTGAAATTTCACTTATTTGACTGTATTTTTGACATCTTTCCCTCATCCCCAGTTCCCCTACCCCCTCCCAGTTTGTATTCAGTCTTTGTAAAGGGCTTTGAGACATTCTTCCAATTTGAAAGGTGTTGTACAAGTGTAAATTGCTGTATTGTTGTTGAATATAATACTTCATTATTTTCTTCCCAGAATTCAAATGATAGTAGCACATCAGTTCTTACATAATATGGATCTCCAGCACACATTCTTTTACTGATCACAAGCTATGAATACTTTAACAAAATTTTGCATACACAGTACTTGAGATTGTAACAAAAGACTTTTTTTAATGAGTTTCAGTTATGTTGAACAATTATTTCACCAAATAGAATTAGACAAAAAGGTGAAGTTTGCCCCAGAGGAACAGGGTATTGATGTTATAATAAATGGTGCCACAGAGCAGAAGGATATACATTCCCACAATATTCTACTTGGCGAGTCCTCAATCTTTTACTTGTCAGGAGGGAGATGTATTGATCAGAACATCAGTAAAGGGTTTAAGCCACCCAGTGGCTGGATGAGGAGTAATACTTATAGCAACTGCTCACTTGCCATCTTACTTATGTTGATGGGGAATTGCTGTATAGCGAAAGGACATCTGGAAGGGACAAGTTGTAATTCGTATTAAAAGAAAACACAAAATATTAACTGAAACCTTCTTGCTTCATATATAGCAGAGTTCTGTTATAATGCAATAGTTTGGGTCTATAAAATCCCAACCAACAATTTTATTCGATATAGCGCCCTTCATTCGGGGTAGTGTCTTTCAACACTAAAATGGGACATAATCACCAGTAATCGATTCTGCATTCATTGCCCACTCACACAGAAAAATAATCAGTTCCAAACACTAGTCGGTGCACGGGAAACCAAAGTGGTCAACTTCCAGGTCATCACCAATGTCATTTCCTGCCCGCTGTCATAAACATTTTGTAGTAAATAAATGTCACGGTTCACATCCTTTTTGCTGTATAAGTGAATCAAATTATATCAAAACACATTTTTATAACAACAGAGTTCTATTCTTTGTAGCTAAAGCTTTTCAAAGGCCAGATTCCTGACTTATCATTTTGTGGCTCAAACCCATACCCAGTAATATCTGGAGTAGTTTGATGGCAATATATATATATATATATATATATAGCATTCCACCTGTGACCTTTCATAAATAGCTCATTCTTCACACTGGTAATAAAATTTTCCAATTCTTTTCATTATATAATGGGAAAAAAAGATGAAGCAATTGATGCAGGCATGCAGCTATTTGACTCAATTTACCTTGTAGAAAATAACTCCCTTCCATATCCAAAAGAAATCTAAATGTTCAGTGATAGTGTTTCCCTAATATTCACTGATTTATCACTGATTTATCAGTTTGGTAAGCTTTACAAATGCATCATAAAAATGTGAATTCTGAATCTTGCACATCTATCTTTCAAAGGCAAGAGGTTACAACTACTGACCTTCGCAACTTCTCCCATCTTCTGCGACTTTATATCCATCACCACAGTAGCAAAGTGTGGCATTTCTTGTCATTGCACATCCATACTGGCAATGAGCCCGGTTGCATGTTGGTGACAATTCTGAAAAGAAGTAGATACAAGTCTAAGTACATAGTCCAACAACAAGACATCAGGAATTTAATTTCTGCACTGGTAAGATGCCGTAAAAAACAAATAAATCAAACCTAAGTATTCTTCAAAAACATATAATGCAGGCATGTCTGAATGCAATTTGCATCCATACCAGAGTTAGTCTTCTTGAGTGCAATTTCTCCACTCCATTTCTAGTGAGACAGTAATCAGCAAGTTGTGGATGATATTAAATATTATGCACTCAATTTGCTGGCAGACGGTAGGAAAGGACAGCCATTCCACCTTAAAGATTGATGTAGCCATTCCCACTTTAAGCAAGTAGATAGCTACTGCTGCCAATTATTATTCATAATGTGTTAGCAATTAGGTCATTTCAATTTAGTTTTATGGATTTGCATACTTTTCTTGTGAGATATGTTTTGTTTTTTGCCTTACATAGGCCCTCTGGGTCTCCACGGAAGGAGAGAAGTAGCAGCATGATGCTTTGTGAGTATCCTTCTCTGTGATGTTTTGCGAAAATCTTATGAACAACATTAGACTGTGCGCTGAGAGTGAATTAGCTGATTGCACTGATTCCTTGAAACATGCCTTCTATTCCTTTTAACCTTGGTGTGGTGAACTGGGAGTGTGAAACACAAGGATCAATCAAGCAGAATTAAACATCATGCAATGTGGCCTCGGAACCCGAGTCCAAATTATATATTTAAACTATTACAAATATATGTTTTTCTCCTTTATTCTCCTCTATTGATATGCAATCTGAATAATGAATTTGATGAAATGATTCTAGTATAGGATGACATTATAGACTAATCTATTGCATTTTTTTAATTGAATATTGTGCAGAATTTGGTTAAAATGTCTTATTGCTAAAAAAAAGATTTAACAGCGACAACAAAAGGGAATTACTGAGACAGTAAATTGGATTTTTTTTGGCTAATTGGCAACGCAACATTTTCAAAATATACGTGAGGTAAGCAAAAGCAACTGAGTTCATTACAAGTTAAAATTATCCTATATAGAAGTGATTAAGAACATAGGGAATGGTTTGAGGAAGCATAGAGCAGAACACATTAATGATAAGATTAGCTTCGCCCACTTAATTTAGCTCGATCTCAATCAATCCATTGAATGGCAACCCAAAACCTAATTACTCGCTAGATACTCCGATACTGTGTACACCATTGTATTTTGTTCATGTGATACTCACTCCCACGCTTCAATTGTTCATTGTGCTAATTTTTTGTACAGCTTTTCGAAATTGCAGTATTCTTCAGCCAGCCTTTCACCTATAAGATTTGTTTTTATTTTGTCTACATCAAGATTGGATTTACTTAGATTGGTGAAGCACATTGACTGTAAAAATTGCTTGACTTTGTCAGCTTGATCATTTATGGAGCTCTGGATACACTGAACTCACTTGAGGTGAAATCTAATGCCAGGGCTCCCACTCCTGACAAACAGCACTTGAGAACTAATCCATTAATTCAAGACTTTGAAGTAGAAGGTCAACTATTTTAGTCATAAAAAGGCATAGTACGCAGCTTTGAGGAATACAAGATTCTACGTACATTTTAGTTTATTCCCGGCATCACAAACTCCTACACAAAAAATTACTTCTGATGGTACAACAAGATATCTGTATGCATGTGATGACACTCTATTATGTAATGTGATGTATTGTATGTAATGGCACTGGATAGTGAATTCAATATCCCAATGTGGTTCTTAAACCCACAACCCACAGGACACAATGGAGTTCTGCAGCTTAGTGGTTAGAGCATTTGTCTCGCAAGCAAGAGGAGCTGGATTCGATTCCTGGGCAGGGTGAAACATTGGGCAAGTTTCCTTACTCCATACACCTCTGTTTACCTAGCAGTAAGTAGGAACCCAGTTGTTAGTCGACTGGTGGATCACTTTTCTGGGGATAATAATTCCTCCCAATAAAATGATAATAATTTAGCAGCATTTCACCCACCTAAATATACAGTCAATTTACTTTAAAGTATATTCTGTGAAGTGCTTTGAGATGTCTCAAAGACGTGATAAGGCGCTATATCAAATGCAAGGATTATTATTGGATTATTATAATCTTCTGATGCAGAGGTTGACAGTGTGACCAACTGAGCCTAGTTGACATCCAAATGCACAATGTCAATGCAGAGGGAGGGAGGGAGGGAGGGAGGAAATCAATCCAAGAAACATTTGCACGTCTCTTAATGAACAGTCCAGAGGAGAAAAACAATGTTATCTGTCCCCCTCAGCAAGTAAAGACAGATGTAAGAGAAAGAAAGTGATGAGTAGTATGATAAAACAAAATCTTCACTGGGAGCAAAATTATAAACAGAATCTAATATTTCTTAAATTCAATTAATTTAATTTGTGCAGAGAGGTATGTATTATAACAAATATAAGAAGATTGCAAAGCACCAGGAGGCTGGAATGAAAGTATAATTAATATACTCCAATGTTTGATTTAAAGGTGAAGTTGAAATAACACAATTGACCTAGAAATCGCACTAACATCAAAGGCTGTAGTTTCTAACTCATGATGATGCATTGCATTCGACTTATTCTTGAACATTTGTAACATAGATCAAATATTTTAGCTCTTAGTTCAACTCTCATGAAGCCAGAATCGCAAGTTAGGATTTATATCTTTAACCTCAAGAGCTGGAAACTTGACTATGTTCATTACGAAAACAAACTAAATTAAACAAATCAAAATCTGCAGTCCATTCACTCAATCCTGCATTCTTGACTTGCAGGTATTCATTCAACTTCAATGTCTGTAAATCAATCAATCAATTAAACTAACACATTCTGTTTTTAGCTTTCTGAAAAGGACTATCAAGATCTGACATGGATATGTACGGATTTCTCAACTATCTGTTCCTTGCAAAACCTTGATGAGTGGCTATAGTAGACAGTAATTATGAATTTCTACTGATGTATTTGTATTTCCTGCAAGATCTGAAAAACAATCTGCTATGAATTTGTTTTGTGTACATAATACTATTTATTTTCTTTTGTATCCATCTATTAAGAGGGGTCTGTGCAGGGTTAAAACGGTGATAGTTTGATATTGGGGTATATCAAGTATTCATCACTATGATTTGTAATCTTTTCAGGATGGATTTATAATGGCAAACCCAACTTACAGGAATATAATGAATATCAAATAGACCACCGCTTGCAAATTACCCAGTCAGAAGACTGCATTTCATTATTATTATTATAATAATCTCTGAGTAGTGTTGAAATATCTCAAAATGCTTCACGGCTAATTGCTGTCAAGTAATTGTGTATTTCAAGGTAAAAATGGTAGCAAATTTTCATACAGCAAGTTCCCACAAACAACCATTGAATGAATGACCAATTTATTGGCAGAATTATTGGCTGGAACACTGGGAGAAACTGTAATAATGTCATGGGATCTTGTATGTCCACCAAAACAGGCAGATTAAGACTTCAGTCTAATGTCTTGACTGAAGGATGGCAGCTCCAACAATGCAGTATTCTCCCAGTTCTGCATAACGGTGTCAGTCTAGACTAAGAATTCAATATTGGGCATGAACTCACAACTACCGATTCAAAGGCAAGATGCTACTAACTGTTCTGACAATTAATTAGGTGAAAAGCTGAGAGACGGTAGGGTGGAATCCTTTTTCATTCAAAGTCACTGGGGGGAAATAACCCTTGAATACAACACATTGACTTTCCTGAGGGCAAACACTGTAACATTTTCATAACCTTTTTAAAGCAAATTATTTCAATTAAAATGCCACATTTTATATTACAATACAGCAACTGGGATGCGCAATTAATATGAAAAATGAAGCTGAAAAGTGAACAGCGCAATATTTGTGCAATTTTAGCTTCAGCAAAAATATTTATATTCAATTAAATTTGATAGGCATCTTAACACAGAAGGGAAAAAAAATCCACTTGGATCAAAATGTACTCTGTTTGATAGAGAATTTTAATGTGTTGAGAATTTGGCAAATGCTTCAATATAGCCCTAATTTTGAAGTCCATTTTCTGTAACTTTTGTTTAACAAGAACTTACAGAAAACCAACTTCAAAGTTAAAACAGAATGCACCAATTTGCCAAATTCTGCACGCTCTGAAATGTTACATTAAGCGAATAAATCAAACCAGGCAAAATTTTCCCTTCATCCATCTAGAACAAATCTAGCATCTAACCCAACCAATATTGTTCAAAAAATGTCACTATGGGACCAGATTCTTAAATACCACTTAGGTCTGCTCCTCTCGAGATTGTTTCTGGAAAACATATCCAAGATCATAATTTACATTGATGTGCTTGACATAATATTTGTCTGAGAAGAAATCCAGACATGAACTTCAAATAGGCAAACTATAATTTTTTTTAGAATAATGGTCCAAAACCATACTGCATAGTCAGGCAAATTTACTTAAGTTTTTTTAAAATCAAAATTCAAAGACTGCACATTATTCAATCAAGTCAACACATTATTTTTAAATAAGAAGATTGTATTTCATGTAATCATGTTAGCCAAGGTTCCCATCTCCATCACTCAATGTATTACTCCAGCCAAGAACAGCAATGCCTTTTGGCAAGAGATAAAAGAGAAAAGGAAAAGCAAAGATCATGAAAAAAATTAAAAACGAATTATTCAGACCAGTTACTTTTTAAAAAAATAAATTATATTTTACATAAATATTTGGCAAAACATTCTTATATATTTAAATTGACAATAATAATCGCTGCATTTGATATAATGCCTCAAAGTGCTTAACAGGGTATACTGTAAAGTTGATTGACTATTTTCTGAGCGAAACTGTGAGCATTCTTGCAAACATCAGCATAATACAGAGGCTGGTGGCAAAAGTTTGTTTTATAAATGTCAAAGCTTAAAGTTTGCCCAAGGACAAACTAATGTAATATATTGTGGTTTTGTGTGACACAGACATCTTGTAAAAAGCTGCTGAGAATCAGCATC